ATCCACAAAATAATGGAATACGAAACAACATAAATATACTCCAAAATAACAGTAGCCTACAGCTACTCAAAATCTGGTCTGTCGTAGCACCTCTAACCACGGGTCGTGTCCCTGCCTCGTGAGGGCTCACTGGGAATCTGAGAACCTGAAATGATGTCCCCAAAAAGGGGTGAGATAACAAATCTCAATAAGCTCCAGGTTTATAGAGAATTCTCCATATCCCTGGGCTCAACCTGCATGAAAGTCAGATACAGAGTATACATAACATCATATAACAACAGATATCATAACAGAACAAAGCATATACACATATTTTATCAGAGGCGTGCGCAGTCATTCTCAAGGGAGGACCTCAAGCGGAAATCAACGCACGTGTTCCCAAGGAAGGACCCCAAGCGAAACCCGAACAGATCAGAGGTGTACACCGTCAGTCCCGAGAGAGGACCCCAAGCGGACATCAGTGTACAATATAATCAATGGCCAGAGATTAATACAAAAATCACATCAGAACAAATCATATCATGTTATCAAATAGCTCTATATGAATGCATCTATACAAAGCATCAAATACAATCATACAATCCAACCATAATCCACTAACCATGGTGGAGCACACAAGTAGGAAAAGACTCCTTAAACATAGAGCTTACCTTTTGAAGCTTTACCGATTTGCTCACTTGTAACACAAGTTACCTATTTAGCTCCAAAGGAAATCCAAAGACGCTCAGTCCCTAGGCACACCTAGAGACAAAATCCAAAACGAAACTCAATAAAATGCTACAATGCCATATAATTACAAGGCATACATTTTATTGTTTACTTTCATTTCTTTTCATGTATGCCAATTCTATGCCAATTTACAAGTCAAGACCATCATTTCTTAAGATGATTATTTAACACATTTACGGATGATTACTCGTAACACAAGCAACTACCCAGTTTCATAATTACCTAGGGTCCTTAAATGACCCATCCAAGCTTCTAACATAATCTTTACAATTTTTAATATTTCCTAGTTCCACAATTCATGCAATGGCTGAAGCCAATACCAACAAAGACTAGGAATTTTCATTAATTCTTTTTACACAACCATTGGTTCCTAGAACCCACACTTAGCCCCTAAATTATTCATATATTCTCATAACAATTTTTAAGCCTAACTTTGCCTATTTTTGTTCACAAAGCCGTTGCAACACATACAAAGTAACTAAGGTGCCTCTCATTGTATCTTAAGCCATTTAACTTCAAAATTATACTAAAACCATGCATTTAGGACCTAAATACATCATCAAATAATTTTAACATAATTTTCCCTAATTAGACCCTAATGGCTGAAATGCATAGAGAGGGTTTCCAAGGGATTTTCCACAATGTACTCTCACTTTCACACTTAATCTCAACATACACCACTATTCAAACCTTCACAATTTATACAATTAAATTTTTGCACATTAAAACCTACATAACCTATCATAGCTGAATTCTAGGGTGGGTTCAAGGGGGATTTTTCTTAAATTTCAAACACATGTTCATGGTTATTCCACATTACAACTTACTACATAACACTAATTTATCACAATTTCAAAGTTTCCCACCAAAACATACTTCAAAATTTCCAAACTTAAATCATGAAAATCAAACCATGAAAATAGAGATTTCTTACCTCTAATCGCTTATCCAAGGTCCAAAGAACAAAACCCAAACAAAGCTCACTCAAAATCCACACTTTTGCACTTGGATAAATAGTGCCACAAATTTGAGAGGAGGAAGAACTCTTCCCACAAGCGATTTAAGCTCAAACAAAGTGGTGGAATGGATTTCTTGGGTGATTTACTATAAATTTCGTGTAATGCACTTTAGGATTAGGATGATTGTAGAGTGAGAAATCAAGGAAAGAAAAGCTTGAAGCCAAGCTTCCATGGAGATGCTACGGGTGAGAGAGAGAAAAAAGGAAAGAAAGAGCGCAGAGAAAAAAAGAAAGAATACGAAGATGTCACATTTCTAAATATTAAATAGGTTAAGTTACTTTAACTAGGTAACAACTTATTTATCTACACACCTCCATTTAATACCAAACTTTATACCCAATGAACTAGAATATTTTTTCAGTCATATTTTTAACTTTACTTTTGCATTCTGGGTAATTTTTCCTACGCATATTTTTACCCCAAAAATTTCACTAACTGTACTTTTTACATCAAAATAACCATAATTATTTAAGAGTAAATACCTTTTTTTGTCCTCAACAAATTTCACGATGCCCGCTTTAGTCCCTAGCAAATAAAAAAGTTATTTGTGGTTTCTAAGAAATTCAAAATAGACCCATTCAGTTGAAATCGTGGTCCCTCACAAATTCAAAAAAAACCCACATTAGTCACTCAAAAGGACTAAAATGGGTCCACTTTGAATTTTTTAGGGACCACGAATAGTCTTTTTATTTTCTATGGACTAAAGCGGGCATCGTAAAATTTGCTGAGGACCGAAAATGGTATTTACTCTTTATTTAATTAGGTCTTTTACTTAATTTACCCCATTTATGCATGATTAAATATTTAATCATGTAACGCCCAGCCGCTTTAAAAATCAATGATTATCCCCACATACTAACACGAGACTTTCCAGTGTGCTTTTTCCTCACTCGCACACTTTCTGAGAAAACTTCCTAAGAGATCACTCATCCCAAAATTGCTCCAAGTCAAACACGCTTAACTGTGGAGTTCTTCCGTTCCGAGCTACCAAAAAGTAGATGCATCTTGTTAGTATAAGTAGTACCAATTAATTCTTATAAGCTATCACAAACTGCGCAGTCTCATTCCTGCACAGTCTTTGGAATCCCTCTCTTTCGGTTGTCGATTCGATTCATTCATGCATGTAATCCCCCGCTGAAAGCCTGTCAGGAGCCGCTACTTGTCCGTGCCTCTTTGCACCGGCGACACTCCTCGCCCTCGTCAGCGCTCAGGATGTTACATGCCCACCAACTTCCGCCTGGTTCGTCCTCAAACCACACTGTACTGGAAGAGAGGCCATGCTCTGATACCACTTGTAACGCCCGGCCGCTTCAAGAAGCAATGACTATCCCCACATACTAACACGAGACTTTTCAGTGTGCTTTTTCCTCACTCGCACACTTCCTGGGAAAACTTCCCAGGAGGTCATCCATCCCAGAATTGCTCCAAGTCAAGTATGCTTAACTGTGGAGTTCTTCCGTTCCGAGCTACCGAAAAGTAGATGCATCTTGTTAGTATAAGTAGTACCAATTAATTCTTATAAGCTATCCCAAACTGCGCAGTCTCATTCCTGCACAGTCTTTGGAATCCCTCTCTTTCGGGTGACGATTCGATTCATTCATGCATGTAACCCCTCGCTGGAAGTCTATCAGGAGCCACTCCTTGTCCGTGCCTCTTTGCACCGGCGACACTCCTCGCCCTCGTCAGCGCTCAGGATGTTACAAATCACATGCCCTTTTTTTTATTAAACAGGTTAGGGGTATTATAGTACACATATAAAATGTTATTTCTATATATAACAATAGAGAAATCCAATAATATCACCAAATAGGTGGAAATGAAGATATAAAATAAAGAAAAAAAGTCATAAAAAAAGCTTTAAAGGGGAAAACCAAATTTGTGGCTCTAAAGACCTCCAAATCTTAAAATAACCGGTGGATGTGAGGTACTAGACATCACAAACAAAATCTAAACTTGTTCTGACAAAATCTTATCGTTAGATCCCGCGACGCTCTCCTTTTTTGTGTGTCTTTTTCGCTATTTCTGCCCGTTGCTCGAGTAAAGTTACTGTGATCCGGGAGCAAAAAATTTTTGGTGGGACTGAAGTGAGAGAAAGAGAGAAAATGTTGAGGAGAGAGGAAAGAGAAGGAAGAAAAAAAATTGATCTAGATTTCAATTTTTTAGTAAAAGGACCATAATAATCTTGAACCATATTAAAAAATGGGAAATGTTTTTGTTATGTAACATAACATAAAAACAAACTTTCTACTCTCACAAAAGGAAGAGAGAGGAGAGAGAATAGAAAAAAGAGAAAAAATTTAAAGTGGGTCCCATATAAATTTTGTGTGCGTGTGTAGGAAGATGATTTTATGTTATGTAACATAATAAAAAGAGTAAATACCATTTTTGGTCCTCAGAAAATTTCACGAGTCCCGTTTTAGTCCCTAGCAAATAAAAAGGCCCATCGTGGTCCCTCAAAAATTCAAAAGGATCCATTTAGTTGAAATCGTGGTCCCTCACAAATTCAAAAAAGAGCCATATTAGTCCTCAAAAGGACTAAAATGGGTCCAATTTAAATTTTTTAGGAACCACAATGAGCCTTTTTATTTGCTAGGGACTAAAACGGGCCTCGTGAAATTTTCTGAGGACCAAAAATGATATTTACACTGATAAAAAACAAAGCCCATTAAAAATTCCTCGTGGTTCTCTCATTCTTTGTTTTCAAATTAAACAAAGATGGACATGGCCCCACCACTAAGAAAAGTGAGTCACGGACTCAACAGTTTGTTCACGTTCACCAGCAAAGGTCTTAAATCAAGTAACATCAGCTTAGAGTTTCAATATAATAACCCTCAAATTGTAGTTATGGAATTGAAAAGATTTGCAATACATAAAGAAAAGAAATAATTTATTCAACTAATTTCCGCATTAATTAAGTTAAACATGTTGCGCCGTATGTATATTAATTAGCCTGCGGCAGACAGGCGTTACATTCAATTAATAAGTAAAGGGAAGAAGACTCAACTGCAAGACACATGTTTTTTCTTTCTTTCATTGATCCCAGACTTTTTGTCCATAGTAATCATTCTAACACTTGCTCCAAATCCTTAATCACATTACACAACAGCTATCTATGGCATATCCCTTGGCACTAGCTTGCTGTAGCTAGACACACATAATACAGTATGAAACTGCTACGATATTACAATCTACTTACTAATTTTATTACTAGCGATGACCAGAAAGAAGGAACCTACTTCAACTCATACAATTTCACATTGGTGCCACTACAATAGGGCTCCTTACCCTGTGTGCACCACCCTCTTCAACCCAAACAATCTCACCAAACGATACGTTTTCCTTCTTGTACCTCGTATAGTTTATAACAACAGAGTAGCACTGCTTCTCATTCTTATACCCGAAAGCTAGCTTCTCAGGTGACACTCTAACCACAGAGCCCCTGGGTGACTTCACCTTGGCTCTGTATGTAGCAGCACCATCTCCCACATTGGTAACAGTCCTCCGAAACTCGTTGACTATGGACCTTGTTTTGTTACCGTACAAAGCAATAAACGAAGGGTAGTTAAGATCAGATGATGGGTTTGTACAGTTAAACGAGTTTGACCTTGTGATAGTCAAGATTTGGTTGTGTGTGTAGCCCAAAGAGCAAAGGAGGTTGATATAGTCTTGTGGGGTAGCATCATATATGAGTCCTGGATCGAGTGCTCTATTAGGATCAATCTCACCAGCTCCCATGGCAAGAGGAGAAGCATGTTGACGAGATGGGTTACCATTATCCCTTATTGGATTTTGGGTATTATCAAGAGGATTAGCAGTGGTGACTAATGCAGATTTTATAGCAGCTGGAGTCCATTCTGGGTGTGAAGCCTTAAGAAGAGCAGCAACAGCAGATACATGAGGACAAGCCATGGATGTTCCAGACAGAAAATTAAAACCACTGGGTAAAAGCACATTATTCCCAATTCTAGCTGCTGGTTTATTTGGAACAAAAGCAGCCAGAACAGTAGTGCCAGGTGCCATTATATCAGGCTTCAAGATCCCTGGATAACTTGGAGAAGGACCTCTTGAAGTGTAATTGGCAACAGCTGGTGCTGGCTTTATTCCAACAAATGTTTGTGTAAATTTGATGCTTGCAGTTGGTGTCTCAACACTTTTTGCATAGTTTATCACTGATGGTCCTTCCTTTGGGTTTATTACTATACTTGGAGAGTGCAAACGTCCTAATTCAATTAGACGCGGATCCTCAGAGATAAATACAGCTCCTAAGACACCAGCTTCAGAGATGTAATTGGATTGATTAATGACAGAGACAGAGTCTAAGTTATCACATACAATGATCCCTCTTGTGGCTGCTTCAGATAACAGATTGACTGAGTTACATGCTGATAGATTTTTGTTGTAGACAAGTTGAAGATTTTCCACAATAGCGTTTGCCGCAAACAAGGTCAAACCAATAATGGTTTTGCCATTTCCTAATGTCAAACTACCAAATGTGCGATCAATGGTGCCTGCTGCCACGGTAAGAACCCAGGGGATTCCATTGTGCAAAGTACCAAGTTGGGGACCATCGTTGCCTGCAGAAGATGAAACCACAACCCCTTTCTCCATTGCTGCAAAACCAGCTATTGCTACAGGATCCTCATAAAGTGGAACATTATTGAAACCAAAAGAAATGGAAATGACATCAACCCCATCAGCAATTGCTTGGTCCATTCCAGCAAGAACATCAGAGGCTTGTTCTCCTTCATCCCAAAGGACCTTGTACATGGCAAGCCTAGCTCGTGGTGCAATGCCTCTTGCTACACCTTCACCGTAGCCAAAGAAAGAGGCTCCATTAACATAGTTGCCTGCAACTGTTGATGATGTGTGGGTTCCATGGCCCGTTGTGTCTCTAGCTGAGTTCATGCTTATTGTGACATTAGGATTTGCTGCAATCAAACCCTTGTTGAAATATCTAGCTCCAATTAGTTTGAAGTTACACATGGAAGTGTTGAATTCTTGTCCTGGCTCACATGTTCCTTTCCATTTGGTTGGGATTTTTTTGGTCATGCCATCATCTTTGAAGCTCTCACTCTCAGGCCAGATACCAGTGTCAATAAGACCAACAATCATATCCTCCCCTAAATTTGAAGCATTCCATAGGCCATAGGAGGAATCGAGTGAGAGAAACTCAAAGGTGTGAGTGGTGTCTATGGTGGCAGACCTGTCTGGGTAAGCTGAGACAAAACCATGACTGTTCTTTAGTGTCCCCAACTCATTTGATGATAGCATTGCACTGAATCCATGCATGGCATGGTTGTATGTGTACACTAATTTCTGTGATTGCTTTGATGGATGATGATCAGCTGTTGATAACTTTATGGAATGAATGGTGGATTCATACCAATCATTATGGCTTGCAAAGACACGAGGCATGAGGGACTTGTCCATATGAACTATGTATGTGGACCTTTCAGCGTTAGCCAATAAAAGCCAAGGAGTAATTAGGAACATCAATGGAAGCGCAACTGCAAAGTGAGGCTCCATTATTTTAATTAAAGGTTTTAAGCAGCTAGAGCTAACAATGAGAATTATGGATTTGAACAAGAAGCTTGCATAGGCTTTTTATGTCTTTGTAGGGCATGATTGGTGTTGACAGATATAATTCCATAAAAATTATAATAATATTACTTCTACATTAATTCAGATGTTAACTATTTGAGAAGGACATTGTACTGGAAAAAAATTATATGGGTGAAAGGATATAGAGACAAGGGAAACAAATACATGTCAAAGATTGATATAAATAACTATATCTAGTCGGTTAAATATAACAAAGACTTGAAAGTGATTGAACTTTTTAGTAACAATATGTTGGGTTCAAGAATTAATGACTATCTCCACATATTAACACGAGACTTTTTATGATACTTTTTCTTCACTCGCACACTTACTGAACAAACTTTTCAGGAGGTCACCCATCACAGAATTGCTTCAAGTCAAGTACGCTTAGCTATGGAGTTCTTCCGTTCTGGGTTACCGAAAAGTAGATACATCTTGTTAGTATAGGTAGTATCAAATAATTCTTTTAAGTTATCTCAAATTGTGCAGTCTCATACTTGTACAGTCTTTGGAATCTCTCTTTTTTGGTGTCGATTCGACTCATTCTTTGGAATCTCTCTTTTAATGTCGATTCGATTCATTTATGTAACCCTGCTAGAACCTATTAGGAGCCGCCGCTCATTATCTATACCATTTTTCACTGACGATCACTTATCACCCTCGTCAACGCTCACCATGTTATATTCTTATTTTGATTGATTGAATCAATCAAAATAATTAACTTTTTTAGTGTTGTTGAACCACGCTAAAATACAGGGAGCCGTTTATTCCCCCCGCGGGTATCATGAATGCCTTTTATAGCTGTGGAAAGCCGGCGGCTATTGCATTGAACTTTATTGAATAAGTGATGAATTACCGTATTAGTTCGATTTGAATATTATTGGACCTATTATAGGGGTCAGGGGACAACTCTCTCAAAAACATAAATATTAGAAATATCGTATCAAAACATTTTTAATGCTAGATAAAAAGAGTGTTTCTTGCTGTATATCTGATCCTAAGTAATTGGTATAATTAAGATTCGAGCATATTCATCGTCCCTATTTGGATAGACTTTTTTTTCCCTTTAAAAACTGCTTTTATTCAGAAAAAAAAAAAACAATTATAAAAAATAACATATTTGAATGTCTGCTTTTAAAAAAGCATAAGTCATAAAAAAATTCAAAAATTTACTTTTTTTGAAAATTAAAAATTTTAACTTGTAAAAAAATAAAAATCAAAAGCAAATTTTTTTTTTCAAAAATTAATTTTTTTTAAAAAAATATAAATAATTTTTAATTTTTATAAAAAAAACTTCTAAAATAAATAAAATATAATTTTTTTTTTTTTTTAAAGCCATCTAAACAGACCTAAACAACATCTTGAAGTTATACAAGTCTTATTTTTTTACAAAGCCAGAACTACATAGGTACTTGACCTAACTCTTATTATAAATATATGCTAACACTTAGGGGTGTAAATGGGCCAAGCTGGCCCAGCCCAGGTCCGGCCTTTCAGAAAAGTAGAGTAGGCTTAGGCTTATAAAAAAGTTTTTTTAATAAATAGGTCATAGGCCAATTTTGTCAAGCCCGGCCTACAGCCTTGTAGGCTGGCCTATTTAATTTATTAAAATAAAATAATAAAATAATATTTATTTTATGTGGCAAAGACACAAAACCAATATCTCTTACTTTTTGTGCTATTTTATTTTATGAAAGGAAAACTTGTCTAATGTCTCCAAATTTTACATGTTGTTGCAGCTTAATACCATGGAGCAATGTATACCTTGCTGGATTATGATGTTACTGATGAAGATTTTTCAATAATACTCTTCTTTCCCTTGTCTTGATGGTGGTTTAAAGATTTTTAGATGAATGACATTCTCTTGTAGACTTTATTTCAGCATCCAATAATTATTTTTCTTATTTTCCCCATTTTTTTGACTTTATTCCTCTATGATATACATTCTAGAGCTGAGGTATTATGTTGACTCTTTCTTGTTTGTCATTTTTTTTCATATGACTTACTAGTGCATGCATTAATGGAACTTTCTTTGCTCTATACAATTATTTTTTTTTGCTTAGTATATATAGTGGGAGGCCTACAAGGCCTGTAGGCCATGTCAGACTTTCTTATTTTTTAAAATGGGTCGGGCTTGGCCTACAAATAAAGCCTTTAATAGGCCAGTAGGCCAGATAAACCGAATTTTTTTTGACGTAGGCTTGGGCCAGGATGGCCAAAGCCCAGCCCAGCCCAGCCCATTTACACCCCTACTAACACTGTATTTTATATACACCAAATCAACCCAGTGTAATAATTTATTAGTATTCGTATTATCTTTTCTTCCTTTTATCTGCCTAAATTCTGTAATTTTAACAAAAAGAAAAATAATTTTTCTAAATTTAAAAAAAAAATAAGAGTAAATATTCATTTTAGTCCCTGACAATATCCACGAAGCCCTTTTCAGTTCCTAGCAATAAAAAAAGGACAAATTGGTCCCTGAAATAACAAAAAAGAGGCCACGTTCATCTTTCTGTTAACTCCCACCTAACGGTGCACAGTTGGCACGCTAGTTTGCTGACGCGGCTTGGATGTGGGACATCGTGGAAGACGAGACGACGACGTTTTGGTCCCTGTCAAAATGCACGACGACGTTTTTAGTCCCTGACAAAAAGCACGGAGCCCTTATTGGTCCATAACCAGAGAAAAACAGGAACATGACTTTATTGCTTTTCTATGCAGTCTAATTTTGCAAAACAGAAGTGCATTACATCAGAAACAGGAGTGCAATCCAATTTTGCAAAATGTAACACCCCGTTCTAGAACCGGTTTGTTAACATCGCATTATGATATTAAGCGCAGTTACAATCACATTGGTTCCATTTGAAATCCGAGTAAATTTTTCATTCTAAAACACCGAATTTGAAAATAACCAACGGCGTGACCATAACCATATTGCTTTGCGGAACAATCAATCTAAGCTTAACATCATGTTCTTCTTTCTTTAGACCAGACTTCGTTAAATGTCTACTTCTCTTTTATTAAATTGGAATTCCTTTACTTACTATATAGTTCTCATCTCACACTAGGTTATAGATATCTTTGTTAGCTACACGTGAGTTCAAACCGCGCCCAATTTGGAGCTCTGTAGCTCAAGTTATGCCAATTTTACTAAATCATGTGTATGCTGAAAACGGGCTTCGCGCTTAAGCGCGCTGAGAGAGCTTAAGCGCCCTCCACGACCCAGTTTTCGCACGGCAGGGCGCTTAAGCGCTCTCCAGCGAGCTTAAGCGCCCAAAGGCAGAGGAAAAATAGGATTTTTAGGCCACCAATGGCACTTAAGCGCGCTCCATGGAGCTAAAGCACCCACCGACAGAGAGTTTTTGGCCATCACAGGTGCATCAGGGCGCTTAAGCCCCCTCTTGGGCGCTTAAGCCCCCTGAGCGAGCTTAAGCCTCCATTTTCAGGCTTAAGCCCCCTCCACAGGGCAATTTGACTTCCTTTGGTATTTCATCCATAACTTTAGTTATACAACTCCTATTTGTACAATCTTGGTCTCATTGGAAAGCCAAGAAGAAGATCTACAACTTTCATTAAGACACAAGGGTCCAAATCTATCCTATAGGATATGAAATATGGACCACAAGATAGGATATCTTTATTTTTACATGGATTCTAATCTTTCAAGGTACTCATACACTAAGAGAAGCATTCATATCATTTCATCATACGTACATCTTCATTAATTACAATATTACATCATGTCTTAATTACAAATCTCATATACATGCCAAAGGACTTAGCTACAAAAGGAACATGATCAAAGCTATAAGCCATTTACAACAAGGCATTCATCACTACAATGATCATGCACTAAGTCCCTCAAAATACATATTGTGACATCAAAATATACATATAGCAATGCTAAATGGCATGCAACTCAAAATGTCCAGCTATCAGGTACAGTCTACTCATGCTTCTTGCCTCGGTCAACCTCACCTCTATTAGTACCTGAAATGATGCCCCACAACACAGGGTGAGATATAAGAATATATCACAGTAAACCAGAGGTCCTTGGAGATCACTCCACCCTAAGGTTCACTTTCGATGTACACATAATCATAATAGCTTAACACATTCTTATCCACAAGCATCACATGGACTTCCAAGAGAGATCCACTAAGGGTTGTTTCTCTTAGGCTCTTACCACATGGAGATCCACATAGGGCTGTTTCCAAGGGAAGTCCTTTCCTCAACCTATTCCAAGAGAGATCCTCAAAGGGTTGTTTCTCTTAAGCTCTTACCACATGGAGATCCACCTAGGGCTGTTTCCAAGGGAAGTCCTTTCCTCAATCTAGGAACCTCCGAGAGGGATCCACATAGGGCTGTTCCTCTTAGGCTCTAACCACATGGAGATCCACATAGGGCTGTTTCCAAGGGAAGTTCCTACCAATTATCCTCATCATAATACTATCACTCATAACCTCAATCACAATCCTCAACCATTACCTCATTCATTATTGCTACTTCTATAACCATTCCTCAATTACTCTTAAACAATCAAACATCAACCAATAATCATTAACCAATCATAACATGTATCAATGCATGAATCAATGCATGAGCATACAATTACTATCATAATTACATATCACATCTCATAAACCATTTCTCCTCAACGGAGTATGGTGGAACACTCAATGGGATCAACCCCAAGGTCCAAAGGATTACCTTGCTCTTGCACTTTCCTTAAAGCTTTCCTTTCTTCAAACCACACAATCTCCAATCAACACCAAGACAACCTATAGTCAAAGGAAAGAGATGTGTTCATCAACTCAATCCACACATAGGTACTAAGTCTAGGACTAGACAAACATCTCAATCATTCTACATTACTCATAATTTCAACATTAACTTGACTTACCCTTTCAACCCAAAACTAGGTTTTTGCTCCAATGACTCCTCCAAAGGCTTCTCCTTCACCCAAGGGTCACCTTGCTCATAACTACACATAAAACAACATAACAACACATCAAAATCCATCCCAACATAGATGAATTTTGTGGTCACTATTCACCCAAAACCTAGATTCATGAAAATTCAAGGAAAACAAGAATTTAATGGTGGAAACTTACCCCAAATCATCTTAGAATACTTGGGGAATGACTCATAAAGCTTCAAGGCACCCAAATCACCCAAAAACCCTCAAATCTCCCAAATTTTTGAAATGTAAATGGTGAAATATCTCTCTATACAATGACCCCCAACAAGAACCAAGCTATGGGTTTTGTAGAGGAGGAGATTTGACACACTTTAGGCTTTTGAATCACTAAGATTGGTTAAGGTTTGATGGAGCTAGGTTCTCTCTCTCTCTCTCTCTCTCTCTCTCTCTTATTCTTCTCCTCCTTCTTTCCTTTCTTTCTTTCCTCTCTGTTTTTGGTCCACGACGGGTTGGGGAGGGAAATTGGATTCTTTTGCTTTTCTAGTCACTTAACTTTGTGTTAAGTGGCTTTATGTGGGTATTGGTTCATCTATCTATTCAACTCCATTCACCACCAAACTTTACCCAAAAGTCTGGAATATTTTTCTAGGGATATTTACATTTTTACTTTTATATTTTGGGTACTTTTGCCTACACCCATTTATACCCCTTAATTTCCACTGAGTACACTTTTTACCTCAAAAGTGACTCCAACTCACTTAATTAGGCCTTATACTTAATTTTACTAACTAATACATGCTTAATTACTTAATTAAAAGTCATTAATTAAATTATTTAAATTAGGAGTATTATACAAAACAGGAACATGACATTAAATTGGATTTGTATGCAGTCCAATTTGTTAAACCAGAAGACATGGATGTACAAGAACTACAACTACGTATATTAGTTAAAAAACATCAAAAATGGTAAACTTAAACATTCATCAACCCTGTGAAACATAATAGCTGGAACATGATTTGAGTATCATTATATTTGAAGACATAGATGTACAGTAGTGCATTACAAAATAAAGCCAACTGCCAAGAATTAAAAGAAAGGCCTCTAATACAATATGGCCAGAATTTACAAAAAAAACATTGACATAATAAGGCCTCCAAATACATAATGGTCATAATTTTCAAAAAAAGTCGGTCACATAATAATAAACTCTTCTCAGTTGGCTCATGCACTACTCTCAGGTCATATACAACAACAGGTCATTTTCTTGAGGTAGGCCTTCGTGGCCTAAAACCAGATGTGCTCATGAAGGCCAATAATATGTTTCGTGTGCCACTGGTTGCTACATTCATTGTTTCATTACTCAACAACTCATTTGCTTGTTGTGGATTTGATGGAGGTGGGCTGCTTCCTCTCAAGTTGCCTTCATGTGGCTGAGAACTACCAACTGCTACAGTCCAGTCAACTGCCATGCATTGCAATTATCAATAATCATTTACCAGGCTTCTTCTCTGTATTTAAATATCAACTATCATGCAATTATCTTTTATAGAAAAATAAATAGTATAATTGTAATGCTACACTACTGAAGATATTATTCGTAAATCGTATAACGCTATGTCTTATACAGACTAAGAGAATTAAAGCAGTTCATAGTATTTTAGAGATCGTAAAAGCTGTTTGCAAGAGCCTAGAATCCTTCTTAACAAAGTGGGAAGCTTAATTAGCATTGAAAAAGAAATGAATAATCATTAATAAGGTTGAAACTTCAGTTAGAAACACAAACTTCTTTGAAATAAAATGTCAAGAAGGAGTATTTTTCTTTGTGATGAAATTTAGTTTAATTACTTTGTGATGAACAAATGGATTGCACTCCTGTTTCTAATGTAATGCACTTCTGTTTTGCAAAATTGGACTGCATAGAAAAGCAATGAAGTCATGTGTCTATTTTTCTCTGGTTAGGGACCAATAAGGGCCTCGTGCTTTTTGTCAGGGACTAAAAACGTCATCGTGCATTTTGACAGGGACCAAAATGGCCCTCGTGGTTTTGACAGGGACCAAAAAGTCGTCGCCTCGCCTTCCACGGTGTTCCACATCCAAGCCGCGTCAGCAAACTAACGTGCCAACTGTGCACCGTTAGTTGGGCCGTTAGGTGAGAGTTAACGGAAGGATGAACGTGGTCTCTTTTTTGTTATTTCAGGGACCAATTTGTTCCTTTTTTATTGCTAGGGACTGAAAAAGGATTCGTTGATATTGTCAGAGACTAAAAAGAGTATTTGTTCAAAAAAATAAACATCATATTTTATGAATTCACGACAAAAACGTAACATATATAAATACAGATTATAATTTAAGAAATAAAATGGAATTGCGTACTGGCCTACTAATTGTTTAATTATTTATTATTTTATATGCATTTGCCGGCATTCCACTGGCACCTATAAGTTAGCATTTGAAATTAAACATGCCTGCAAAGTGTTTAAAGAAACAGCGGTCACATCTACTAAAATAAAATCGAAAAACAACAGTCACCGATAGGAAACAATATGTATCTGCATTAAAATAATTTAACATCTTCTTTGCCGGCATTGAGTGACCAAAGACAGCTAACAAAGACCAGATTGAGAGGTTAAAAATGCGTGATGAAGAAAACAAATTTAACATCTTCTTTAGGGATCTGCATTAAAAAAATCCTTTGCCTTGGACTACATGGACGAGAGACCTAATATAGTTTGTATAGCATTCCATGTATGCTACGAACCAAAACATATGTACCAGAGGCTCAAAGAGAAAGAAAAGGCATGAACAACAAATGTTACGTCATTTCTCCTATTCCAAGGTTTAGAGACTTGTTTATAACAATTAGTAGTAGCTAATTAGCTGTTCATGATTGGCGAGAGATAGTTTTGTCAAGGGCTTCACTCACAATCTTGTTTAACTTATCTATTTTTAATGATAATAAAATCATTAATTAATTACACATCGTCTTTACCATTATTAATAAAAACTACATCAGTATAGTATCGAATTAAAATTTTGGTGGATTCTATGACATTTTAAGAAGGTAGAAAATTGAATTTTACCAGAGTTTAGTTAAGGTATTATATAGTTGAACTATCCCAATCAACTTCTGTAATGCCAACTATGAAAAATATAATTTAGTTCTTTTGTTAGTAGTTTAAAGATAAAAAGTAAATATGACGATTTAAAGTTGACAGAAAATTACCCACGTAATTAATATGACAAAAATTGAGGTGGGGGAGGAAAGAACGAAAAGGGGTGAACCAGCTTTAGACTGAGGTAGTATTTTCGCTACCCTTGGTCCTATCGGCTAATAAGATTGAACTATCATTGGTTCTAGTTTGAACTGACACTAAGTAATAAACAACTTCTGTATGAGAGTCATGATGAAATGACTCTTAAGTAATAAACAAGTTTGAACTAAGTGGTTGAGCAACTTCTGCTATGTTAAGGATTCCAGCTTGCAAGAAAAAATCCACCGGAACGAAAATAATATGCATTTATGAACTTACTAATGCTGCCAACAAGTGGTCATAAAAAATTAGAAGCAAATGTATCGTGACACTCGACAAAATGTTTTTCCTTGGCTTGTAGCCTCACTCGGTTGATCAGTTTCCATCAGCATATCATTTATCTGGAGTAAAAATTCATAATAACTCGATCAAGAAAGGCATGTTCTATGTCAAGACTTACAAAGGAAGGATTAAAATTGAATACCCAGAAAATCATGGCAGTATAGCGAACTGCCTCAAATTATTTTTCCCAACGTCAAATGATTTTGAAATCATACACACTACCCCATGAGAGACAAATGAATGAGACAATTCTGTGACATAAACAGCTACTTGTTCTCTGAGACAACAGTAAACAGATCATGCAGGCAATTTGACACCGTAACAAGACAAATTTGATGAGAATTATGCTAAAAACTAATGTATCTTTATTTTGCTACTTAATGGTTAAGAATCATTTAAATTACAATGTAAGTACAGCAATCATTCTATTAGCATTCAGAATACCTACAATAGAAAGAAAAAAGAAGAGGTAAGTTGCTGAAATGAGATATTTTAACAAGTAAACTAATTTGGTCAAAGGGGCATTGTGCATTTCTTTTGAGAATGTCCTAACAAATGGCAACGACCACATTGTACAACTCTTTTGGGACGCATGAAGTTCTCCACTTGCAGAACCTTCTTTTTAGGCCTTCCAGGTGGTCGGCGGATCTTTGGAGGGCAAATTATGAGAGCAACCTTTGCACCTCCACCCTCTGCTCCCTCCCCCTGTTCTCTCCAATAGCTCTTATCCAGAATTGGATTTATCATCTGTGAATAGGTCACTCTGTAACTTTCTACTGTGAAGCAAGGCTCAGCAAACATATGGGCATTGTGCCCACAAGAAATAAGTGCTGCAGCAGCATGGGCACAAGGTAAACCATACAGCTGCCAACGGTGACAAGAGCACACACGGCTTCTTATATCCACAATATTGGTCCTCTCAGTTGACACAATTTCAAACTCAATTTCATTTGCTCGGAGTACTTGATAGCAATGAGCATCAGAAATTGCGTCCAGCATCCTCTTCTCAACAGATGGTACAAGAATTGATGTCCATCTCATGCCCATATCCTGACGATCATTAAACCAAGATGTAATCCGATGTCGGATGTGTTCCATCATCTGCACTACAGGGAGCTCATGACATTCAAGGGCCCAGTTATACAACAATTGGGTTATCCCAACTGAGAAATGGCCATATCGAACACCCTCAAAGTATGCCACAGCCCAAAGTTGGGGAGGAAAGTCTTGAAACCATGATGTAACATCCTGTGAAATTTCTATCATCTCAGCAACTTTGCTTTCAAATTCAACTGCCGTAAGAGCATAAACAGCATTCCAAAAGATGTTCACCAACTTAGTACTTTTAAATTTATCACGGAAATTTTTACTAACATAACGCAGACAGAAACCATGAGAAGCACTTTTCTGACATGAACCACATCCAGTTTTCATCACTTTCAGTATCAACAATAGCAATGGCCAAAGGAAACAAAGCATCATCAGCATCAATAGCTGCAGCGCAAAGTAACGTACCCAAGTATTTCCCTTTAAGATGTGCTTTGTCAAGTTCTAAAAGTGGCCTACAAGCATTTACAAACCCATAAATTGATGCACGGAAAGAAATAAACAGGCGTTGAAAACAATTTTCATGTCCAGTGGCAACAACTGATGCAATGCTCCCAGGGTTGGTTTTCCTAATTTGTTCACAGTATGCAGGAAGAAGATCATAACCTTCTTCAAACGTTCCGTGAAGGGCGGCCATGCTCCGCTCCTTCCCACGCCAAGCTTGCATGTAAGAAACAGCAACTCCATGCTGATCACGTATATCTTGCAGTATATCCCTTGGTTTGTATTGTGGATTATCTCGAATGCGTGCTTCTACTGATCTTGCAACCCAAGTTACAGATGCCTGCTGATGATGCAGGTTGCGAACTCCTTCACAAGTATGCTCTGCATGTAGGGTTCTTATCGTAAAAGTTGGAATGCCAGGACATTTTGCAACATGAACACGCCATGGGCATCTTTCTTTAGAGCATTTTGCTATGACACGACTGCTATGACCAAAATGCATAGCTATAGCTATATCTTTCAATGTTCTTCGGCAGGTTTCCACATCTGGAAACTCTTGTCCAATGACTAATGGATAATCTGCTATATTAACAGAAGCCTCATCTAAAACTAAATTATGATTATCCATATATCCACCAACACAAGAGAAGAGCAGTGTCATGTGACTCTAAGGGTTTCCATCATATTTATGAATTATCAACTTCCAAAAAATGTCACCATACCTAACTTCCTCTCATTTACAGAATCTGCAATGCATAGCATAAGGGAAGAACGATTAGATTATTATTCTACATTAGTTCAAAACAGAAAACCAGTGAAACAAATGAAAATATTGGATTATCATACCAATCAGAACATTGTAAAATCTGCAAATAAAGTAATTGATAATGGATGTTCAATAATTGGTTTATTCAACACAAGAAAAAAGAAAGTAAGTGCAGAGGGTGGGAAAAAAGTAAAAGGGCCCATCATCAGACTTTGAAAATAAATCTACTATGAGGGGGTTGTTTGTGCATAGGTTATTGCATGTACATCCCGAACATTGCGAGTCCAATAACAGAAGTGAACAATATAGAAACAGAACATTCAGCTCTTTATAAACCCGATATATTCTTCGGTAAATAGAAGTCCAAATATTCCATAGGAACCAAAGAAACATCATTTGGGTGGAGAAATTCATGGGCAATGTAAGCCAATTGCTTTAATTAATATAATTACAACAAGCATGATTTATGAGTATTGTAAAACTCACTATGTCTAGGTCCCTATAACTTCTCCCTAGAAAAGATGATAAAAGGAAACTAGGTAAAAGTATAACAAGCTATTGAGACAGACACCAAACATATCTGTAGTTGTTCCTACTTCCTAGTTCTTCGTCCCTTCAACGTGATTTTGTTGTAAAACTTAGAAGTCCAGTTATTGATTAAAGATCTTACCAGAGTCATGCTCATCTAACTCAAGCCCAAAGCTAATTGATCCAGGCCCAACTCATCAAACTTACTCTTCCTCTTCACATGGGATCAAGCCACGTGGAACCAATCACAACATATGAAGAATAACTAACTCAGCTCTCAGTTTGTTAGTCAGTTAGGAATTTGTTGTAAACCTTTAAGCTTTAATCATTGACTATATATCTAAACTTTGTAATCGTTTTACGAAGGTGAAGAAGAATGATTCATTTTTACATTTTGAGATGGTATCAGAGCTCTCATTGAGCTCTGGTATTCTGCTTCGAAGAGTTCTTTCCTTTCGTTCGTTCTTACTTCGTTCGTTTGTTCTTCTTTCAATTTCTTTCTGATTTTCTTCAATCAGTTTCATGGCGTCTTGTTCACGTTCCTGATCCACAAACTAACCCCTCTCATCCTTTGTTCTTGCATCCGAATGAAAGTCCAGCTTTAGTTTTGGTTTCACCACTCTTAAATGGTGAAAACTATCACTCATGGGCTCGAGGGATGAAGATGGCTCTAATTTCCAAAAACAAGCTCGGTTTCATCGATGGAAGCATTCCTGCACCAGATCCAGATGAACCTACATTTTCTGCTTGGCAAAGATGTGATACGATGGTGATGGCATGGATTCAAAGATCCATATCAGCGTCTATAGTGAAATCAATCATTTGGATAGAACATGCTCGTGATACTTGGTTGGATTTACAAGAACGATTTTCTCAAGGAGATGTGTTTCGAATCTCCGATTTGATGGAAGAAGCTTTTCGATTACATCAGGGAGACAGATCTGTTGCTGATTATTATACACACCTCAAAACAGTTTGGGATGAGTTAGACAATCTCAAACCTCTCCCTAATTGCATCTGTGTTGTTCCATGTGTGTGTGGAGCAATCACCAGAATGAGAGAATATCGCGACAAGAACAAGTTATACGGTTCTTGAGAGGATTAAACGACCAATTTGCATCTGTAAGGTCTCAAATCATGCTGCTAAGTCCATTACCAAACATCAATAGGTCCTTTTCACTTGTTTCTCAGCAAGAAAGGCAATTCAAATTGGATAATCATGTGCCTGATGCGAATCAATCATCTGTTTTTAATGTCACAAACCGAAGAGGAGGTCCTAGTTCTGGAGGTAGATTTAATGGCACATTCAATAATGGCACATCTAACAATGGCAGAGGAGGTCCTATTTACAGAGGAAGAGGTCGAAGTTTTGGAGGCAGATCTCAACCTAACCGCATATGCACTCATTGTGGCAGAAGGAACCATACAATTGAGACATGTTATCAGTTACATGGATTTCCACCAGGTTATCACACAGGCAATAGAACTTCTAATACAAATGCTGCTAGCACAGATTCTCACAACTTCCATCAAGATGTTTCGGTTGCCTCCAATTCAGAACCTTACATGCATATGACCAAAACTGAATATCAACAGCTGATGGACCTTCTGCATAAGTCTCCTTCTACTGGTCCTCTTGATGCTCCTGCAACAAATCATGTGAGCAACATGGCCCAAGTTTCCAGCATAAACACAACCGAAAGAAACAACAAATCAGGTAGCCCAAATACTCACTGGATTGTGGACACAGGTGCAACAGACCACATCACACATTATATTTCTGTGTTTGCTTCAATTCATGCTATTACTCCTCTTTCAGTAATTCTCCCAAGTGGATCTCAAGTTTATGCTTATTATTCAGGCACCATTCAATTAACTCCCGATTTAGTTCTCCATGACACACTATATATCCCACAATTTCATGTCAATCTGATTTCTGTATCAAAACTTATCACAACCCTTAACTGCTCACTCACCTTTGATTCTGAACTATGCTTCATCAAACAGATCCCATCACAGAGGATGATTGGTACAGCTGAAAGGAGAAATGGCTTGTACATGATAATCAATAAAGAGGCCCAACATACAAATAAAGCAGATGGCTGTTGTGGAGCTATCACAAGCAGTACAGATGAATCTGTCTTGTGGCACAGACGATTGGGGCACCTCTCAAAGAATGTTCTACATAATATGTCTTTGTATTTTCCCTTTATTCCTTCTGCACATGTAACTCCATGTGATGTGTGTCACTTAGCAAAACAACGAAGACTTCCTTTTAATTCCAGTGAGACTAAAACCAATAGAGTGTTTGATTTGATACATACAGATATCTGGGGTCCATTTTCTACTACATCAATGAATGGTTATCGTTTCTTTCTTACTGTGGTTGATGATTACTCACGATTTACATGGATATTCCTTATGAAACACAAAAGTGAAACTCGTCAGCACATCCATGATTTTGTTGCATTTGCTGAGACACAATTTAAAGTTTCCATTAAATCCATCCGTAGTGACAATGGAATAGAATTTGCTATGACTGAATTCTATAAGAGAAAGGGAATTATTCACCAAACCAGTTGTGTTGAGACCCCCCAGCAAAATGGTTTGGTTGAACGCAAGCACCAACATTTGCTGAATGTAGCCCGTGCCTTCATGTTTCAAGCTAATCTACCACTTCCATTCTGGAGTTATGCCATCCTCCATGCTGCTTATGTTATCAACCTGTTATGCTCCCCTCTTCTGGACAATAAGACACCATACCAGATATTATATGGGAAGGATCCTTTGCTGACACATCTAAAAGTATTTGGTTGTCTATGTTATGCCTCAACCCTGTTGTCTCACCGCACTAAATTTACTCCTCGAGCCGGCAAGGCTGTGTTCTTAGGATTCAAAGAAGGAACAAAAGGCTATCTCATATATGATTTGAATTCCAGAGAGTTTTTCATTTCAAGAAATGTGGTGTTTTATGAGTCCCATTTTCCCTTTCATATACCTCATTCATCAGCCAACTCACCATCACATTCCTCTCACCCACACCAACCAAACAACCCTTTTTATGATGTTTTTGGTCCAAACATACAGCCACGTGACCCTCCAAATTCATTCTTATCTGCACCAGATGTCCACCCAACCTTCATCCAAACTCCAACTCATATTCCATCACCTATTCCACTCATCATAAACAATCCCTCATCAACTCACTTACCTGTCAACACCGAACCACATCAACCTCCAAACTTTAACACCTCATCTACTGATACTGATACACTGCATGAGACCATATCTTCAGATCAAGCCACGTCTCAGCCAGATGTCATCATGCATGCCAATCTTCGTCGTTCCTCACGTGACCGAGTTCCTCCACGGTACCTTATTGATTATCATGTTAGGCTCTCCACAGCTACCAAAAGTCATCTATGTGATTCAACCTTTCCCACCAGGTACCCCTTATCTTGTTTTATCTCATATAATACTTGTACTCCCTCATATCAGCATTTTTGTCTCAACTCATCATCTCATATTGAGCCACGCACATACACACAAGCTGCCAAGTCCCAACATTGGCAGCAAGCCATGACAAAAGAATTGGATGCTTTAAAATTGAATAATACTTGGGTGATGGTACCCCTTCCTCCTGGTAAACAAACGATTGGATCCAAATGGGTTTATAAGATCAAATATCAATCCAATGGATCCATCGAAAGATACAAAGCACGCTTGGTTGCCAAGGGCTTCACACAGCAAGAAGGAGTGGATTACTTTGATACATTCTCACCGGTTGCAAAGTTGACTTCTGTTCGCACATTGCTTGCCATAGCTTCGACCAAAAACTGGTTTCTTGAGCAGTTAGACGTTGATAACGCATTTTTACACGGAGACCTCAACGAAGAAGTTTACATGGACCCTCCTCCTGGTCTATCATCTGGGAATCTAGTTTGCAAGCTCCAAAAATCGTTATATGGGCTCAAACAAGCCAGTCGTTGATGGCATGCCAAATTGTCCTCTGCCCTTCTGTCTTTGGGATATATTCAAGCCGAATCAGATCACTCTATGTTCACATTTCGAACTGCCACTTCCTTCACAGTACTACTCATTTATGTTGATGATGTAGTACTCTCAGGTGACTCTATGACAGAAATTCAACGGGTGAAAGACTTCCTTCATGCACATTTTCGCATTAAGGATCTTGGCAAATTACGTTATTTCCTTGGCTTAGAAGTGGCTAGCTCAAAGTCTGGCATACTTCTCAACCAACGAAAATATGCTTTGGAATTAATAACAGATGCTGGCCTCCTTGCTGCTAAACCAATGACTACCCCAATTGTTCCATCCTTCTCTGCCACTCAAGCCCAAAGTCCTCCTTTATCTGATGCCTCCATTTATCGTCGACTCATTGGTAGGTTACTGTATCTAACCACAACTAGGCCAGACATTACATATGCTGTGCACTATTTGAGTCAATTTGTTGCTTCACCTTGTGATCACCACCTTACTGCTGCTCACCGTATTTTACGGTTTTTGAAAAATGCACCTGCTACTGGGCTATTTTATCCTTCACATGGTTCTTTATGCATACGAGCCTTTGCTGATTCCGACTGGGCATGTTGCCCTCTTACTCGCAAATCCATTACTGGTTTCTGCGTATTCATCGGTGATTCACTGGTTGCTTGGCGTTCGAAGAAACAAAGGACTGTTTCTCGTTCCTCTTCCGAAGCAGAATACAGAGCTCTAGCTAGCTTGTCTTGTGAATTACAATGGTTCCAATATCTTTTCAATGATCTTGGTTTACCATGGCACACTGCCTCTGTATATTGTGACAATCGCTCCGCTGTATATCTTGCTCACAATGCAACATTCCATGAACGTTCCAAGCACATTGACATCGATTGTCATGTTACTCGTGACAAAATTCGTTCTGGCCTACTTCGTCTTCTTCCTGTATCCTCAGTTCATCAGGTCGCAGATGTCTTCACCAAGTCTTTGTCTTCCTCAGCTTTTGTTTCTGGTATTTCCAAGCTCGGCCTCGTTAATCTCCACGGTCCAGCTTGCGGGGGCGTCTTACCAGAGTCATGCTCATCTAACTCAAGCCCAAAGCTAATTGATCCAGGCCCAACTCATCAAACTTACTCTTCCTCTTCACATGGGATCAAGCCACGTGGAACCAATCACAACATATGAAGAATAACTAACTCAGCTCTCAGTTTGTTAGTCAGTTAGGAATTTGTTGTAAACCTTTAAGCTTTAATCATTGACTATATATCTAAACTTTGTAATCGTTTTACGAAGGTGAAGAAGAATGATTCATTTTTACATTTTGATGTTTTCAAGTAACACAAACACCAAAATATTATTGTATTGTAACTTGCTATCAGGTTCTAAACAAGATCCAACCACTTAACATTGTGGCAATTAGCAGACTCCTGTTGTCATTTCACATACCAAATATTCAAATACATTGCAAAAAATGGACTAATAGTAACTTTATGCCTATATAAGTCCAAAAATGAGCTTATAGGGTTTTATTATCCTCTCAAGTCTGGGTTATATTTTGTAAAAATGCTCTCTGAAAGTTAAAGCATATAGGAAACAATGAAACATATGACATTGGTGACCTAGGTCACAAATCTGCATCAATAGTGAATAGTGAATTACATTGATTTCGTTAATATTGAATGTTATCGTTTGTGTTAGACTATTAGAACATACTTTAATATTTTATTATGCGCCTAACATGTTTATATGAAAATTCACTTTAAAGAACATATTTATGACATTTCTATGTGCAGTGCATTGAGCATGGCATTGACATCGTTCCTGTATTTTGATCGCTTTGTATTTTTCTCAGCCTTGTGCTGTTTGGAAGAACAATGCTCTCTATAGTATATAGCTTGGCACGCATGAATGAGACACAGCGTCCGTACTGGAACAAGAGGAGGACAACCAAAAAAGATATTATTCATTGAGAAAGCAATAATTTGATTTAGTCAATGAAAGGAGAACAACATTGAACCATGATAAGAAAAACAGAAACAGAAGACCCCACACATGGTACTTGATTTATTTATGGATGATATGGTTTAGGCCTTAATTCAATTCCTTGAACAACAAGGCCACCCTTCCAGTCACCACTCTTGACCTCGTAAACACCCATCTCCAACTCCTTGTCCTCTCCTCCTTCATTGAAGAAGTCTCCCAATTCTATCTCCAACCACCCTTCTGCTCTCTGCTTTGGATACTGAACATCAAGATTTTCTCTAGGTGCTGGTGCTCGCGCTTCAACAGCGGCCATTAAACGAGTACGGTTAAATATCCCAGCACGGCGAGGAACAATCTGGTATCTTACCCTCCGCTCTCTTTCAGCATCCAAGAATACAGTTTTCTTGCGAGTATCACCTCCAGAAAAACCAATAGATACCTCAACTGGCTGGTATTCGAATCCGTAGGTACCATTAGCACTTGGCTTAAACACAAGGTATGCCCCATACAATGTCTCTGGAGACAGCATGCCAGTGTTGATACAGCCCCGAATTTCCAACCAGCACACACTCAAAAGTTCGGCCACCTCAGAAAACCTGCAATTGGAATTTACTTAAATTCTCCTCAATCAAATTAAGGTACCAAAATATTGTACTTGCATTAATTATATACCTGGAATCTGGAAGAGAAGTCCACCTCCAATACTTGGGAGTATCTCCCCATACAATAGAGAGCATCCTCGCTGATAACATGTAGCATTTCTTCCCATTTGCTTTATCAAGTTGAAAGCTCTAATATCATACCATTTACCACATTACAACAGAACAGAACAGAACATAAATTAACTAAAGATATTGAATTAATTTTATACACATTATCAATTATAATACTTTTTCACCATTCTCAGCCAAAATAAGAACTATGACACTAGATAATTTTATTCTAATAAATAATAATAATTATAGAAAGAGTAGAATATTAAAATGAGAAAAGAAGGAGAGGATTATTTACCTTTGTACCATTGTCTATGAGGAGCGGATTTTGGCAAAGATAGAGATAGAGGTGCTTCTTAGATTGGAAACCTAAGGAGGTAGCGGCGGAAGATTGGGAAATTATGGTGTGGCAATCGGAGGGCAAAAACCTATCCCAGACAGCGTCAGATTCAGCGGCGGATCTGAAAATGGATGAAACCAAGGAGAGCCTGCAGACATCCTTAGGAGTTGTGAAGGAAAGAACATTTGCTATGCAACCTTCTGGTAGATTGTTAAAGTCGACGGCTTCTACCACCATGACCACCACAGAATTGGTTTTCTTTGTTTCTGTTTTATTGTTTCGCTTCGTCGGTCGGTCTCTTTCTCTCAGTTTATAGAGAGGCTGGGAAGGGGAAGCTTAGCGGTTAAGTATAGCTCGTTTGGAATATGTCATGCACATTTGCCACGCACTGGACGCAAAAGTAAGTATCAAAGATTTATTGTGCAAAAGGAACTTTATCTTTTTCGTATCAGTACAGCTGTCCATGTCGTGTCAATCAACGCTTTTATTCTCTCACTATATTTTGCTTTTTTATAACGAGCACACATATTCTTACTATCAAAATTTTTTACTACTAACTTATTACTTATTTAATTACTATTGGATTAACATTTTCTCTCTTCAAAAACTTTTTAACATTCTCTTTTTAATCCAATGATAATTAGATGAGTAGTAAGTAGGTAGTGAAAAATTTTAGTAATAAAAATATCCCTCCTCTTTTATAATAAGCCACAACTTTCTCTCTTTTTTATAAATCACTTTATTTGGAAACTATTGAATTATAATAAGACTTTGAATTTTTCTAATGACAATATTGTAAACTATTGAATACATGTTTTACAGCCACCTGTTTAATTTTTGAAAAAAACTAGTCTTATGTTATATGTAATAACTTTCTCTCCTACATACCCTTTGATAACTGTGCCACTTTTTTCTTTTCTTTTCTTTTTATTTTTCAGATGGTGGAACCTACAAATTTATCTCTATAACATGAGATAACTTATCTCCTTTAAATGAGATTAATAAAATCCTTAATTTTTATGCATTAATTGAATTACCATCGTTTAGTTAAGCGTCAATATTTTACATCAATTGAGTAAAAAATTTATGGATTTTATCATTTAACATAATATAACTTCACTTTCCTACACACACATTAAAGAGGTGGGATCCACATATTTTTCTTTCTCTTTCATCATTCCACTTTCTCTCTCCCTTTTGATGTGAGAGTTGGAAACAACACTTACATTATGTTACATAACACTAATAAAACCCAAAATTTATATAGTTATATTAATTCAGTCAGTCGTGTTTGGTTTAATAAATTTGATACCAATTTATAAAATAAAAAAAATTATATTATTTATAACCATAATTATTATTTATGATATCAATAAATATTAGTGAAAAAATAAGACAACGTTAAAATTTAGGTGGCACGGTTAGGTGCATCAATGCGTAGCAGGATTTTATAAAGAAAAAAAAATTGTCATTTTAAATGATAAAATTTTGTGTTATTTTATATAAAAGGATGGTTTTTTAATGTATATTTGATAAGAGAAAATAAAAAATAATTAATTAAATATTAAAATAATATTATTTCATCTAAAATAACACTATTTGAAATTATAAATAATACCAATACTTTTCCCTTTACAAATGAATCTCATCAACCTAGACTGTTGTGGACTTGTAGTTAAATAAAAAAATAAAAAATCTTAGAAATAAATAATGCATATTTATTTATGAATATATTCGGTCTTTCTTCCCAAAATGCTCTACTGTTTGCTCAATCACTATTTCTATTTACCTTGGTTGGAAAAATCTCAGTCATTATTGTGATGCTGATCTATGAAGCACCGACTCCAACACGGCGTTTTCGATACGTTCTCGATACGACCGTTAATTCGTCGATACGATACAATACGTTTTCGATACGCGTATCGGATACGTTGAAAAAAAAATTAGGAGTATCGGTGCTTCATAGATGTTGATAGCTAATCTTATCGTTCTATAAACTGAAATTTTTTTCACAATCATGATTAGAGAGAGGGAGGATCGTTCCTTTGCATTCTCATTCTCAATTAAATGCACTCAGAAAGCTTCTTCCCGCTCAACTCCTTCTTTCTCCCGTTCCTATTTCAGGTTCTCCGTTCTCATCGTTAATCCGCACGATGCTGCCACCGCGTGTGTGCTTATGGATGTAAGTTAATTAATTCTCCTATATGCCAATGTCTCTTAATTTTTTGCTTGTGTTTCCGATGCGATCAATGTTAATTAATTAAAATGTTGACTCTTTTTCTTCAATGAATATATTTAGTGTTTTGTCTTGATATAAAATTTTGAGGTTGTATGGTGAGAAACAAGATACTCGTATTAATTTTTTTTTTTTGGAGGTTACAAGGAATTGAACACAACACCCTACACTACACACACTCCTAACGTACACACCCCACACCACTAGGCTAACCCTAGTGGTAATACTCGTATTAATTTAATACTGCAAACTTATATTTACAAATTTTTGACAGAAATTAGTATGATTGGAAGTTTTCATAATTCTAATGATATATTTAAGCTTCGATATCAAGGCACTCATCTAAGCCTTAAGGATAAACGGTGTTTGCGTTATTTAAACTTGTATAAAAATACAATTCATATACTTATCAAGGACAGTTTTTTGTAATTCTTTGAATATGTGAACGTGGAAATAGTGGATACTCATACTCCTACTAAGCACATCCTTAGTGTTGAAAGATGAATAGTTTATTATGATATATGAGGTTTTCCATTTATTCTTCAAAAACATAGTTTAAATTTTGGGTTTAGGTAGCTTGCTTTGCAAGATTCTGACTATTTGGGTTTAAATTGCTAGCTACTTTTCATAAGAATCTCTTTCTTTTTATTCTTTTATTGAATTTGACATGTACTTAAAAAAAAAACAACGAAATATATACTCTGGTTGAGTCTCTTTCCAGCAATGGATAATTGAATAGCAGTGGCAATGACGGTAATTCTCATAAGATAATGGAGTATCTACCCAAGATGTTGGAATATCTACACGAAGCAACTTTCATCCTATCTGAACCTCAGTTATCGGCGTGTCATCATTGTTATTAGCATGCATCTTAACTACAAGGAAGAATGATTTCTTAACAATGCATAATAATATGGGTTCTTTACTAAAACCTGTCTTGTTTTTTATCTTTTAATAAATTCCCTCACAATTGACGAGTTCCTTGCAAGCTTGCATGTTTCATGTTTTTCAGGGTACAAGACATCCACCGAGTTAATAATTCAAGGACAAAGAAATCACATTATGGCTAGAAGTAGAAAGTCCCTTGCCGCCTTCAATGGCCTCTTGGGCACCCGTTCAATTCCTACTCGGAAGCGGGAAAACAAAGTCCCTTGCCGCCTTGATTGGCCTCCTGGGCATCCGTTCAATTCCTACTCGGAAGCGGGAATATAAAGTCCCTTGCTGCCTTAATTGGCCTCTTGGGCAGCCGTTCAATTCCTACTCGGAAACGGGAAAACAAAGTCCCTTGCCGCCTTAATTGGCCTCTTGGGCAGCCGTTCAATTCCTACTCAGAAACGGGAAAACAAAGTCCCTTGCCGCCTTAATTGGCCTCTTGGGCACCTGTCCAATTCCTACTCGGAAACGGGAAAACAAAGTCCTTTGTCTCCAAAAGAAGACCAGCCCTCCGGGATAAAAATGGTTTACTAAAAGAAGACCGACCCTCCGGGATAAAAATGATTTATTAAAGAAGATCGGCCCTCCGGAATAAAAATGGTTTACTAAAAGACCTTCGGGCACCCGTCCTTTTGTTAATCGGAAGCGGGAAAATAATTGAACATTTGATTCTGAATGATCCTAATCAGCCCACAAGACATCATCATATAGGGTTCTCACACCCTACTCAGGTACGCAATAAACTATTATTGTTTTTATCTATTGCAGGTTTAGGCTAACAAATCCGAGAAACCACCTCTAGCTTCAAACTCAGAAGCAATTACAAACCCGGAGACGACTACAACCAACGAGCAACACGATAAAGCAACTTGGAACTCGGAAGCATTGGCAAGCTGGGTTTTCCCGGCATTCATATCCTTTTTCACAACACTAAACATTATTTGATAGGCACGGGGGCTTTACTTTTACCCCGGCATTCCAACTATGCGCAATCCCAGGCTGGGGGGCTTATGTTGTGGACCACTTATGTGGTACCCACTTCCTATCCCCACTACATGGAGCATTTCATTCCACCATTCTCTCATAACTCCCATCTACTAGCAATAACCACCCACTAGCATTGCATCATGCCATTAAGTCACCTGCAAACTACCCACTAGGGGCACAATCTCCTAGTGCATTCATATATATATAACCCCTTATAGCTAACAAGGAAAGGAGATAACTCATCTAGGAACTCATCTGATAACTTATCCTTGCCACCATGGCTACAACCTACATACTTGTGCCCAGAGCACATCCTCTCCACCGCAGGTGACTCACACACACACCCATTGTTCATTCAATCGGACTTTGGCCTACGGTGCAGGACTCCTCATTACTTGTCATCTTTACCATAAGCTCCGTAGATACAAATACTAGCTCCGTTGATGGATATCTATCCGTAATTATTTTTGATTTAAATCTTGGATTGCCCTTTGCTCGGCATGTCATTCAATAAACCCCTTATACGAGTCCATAACAAAGGTATTAGTTGTATTTTTATTTATTAATATATTGATTGCTCAAGAACCGAAGTTCTTTCACTTATTAGGTATTAATATAGGGGAAATCGTTTGTCATGTTACATGACAACAAATCAATTTTCCTACACACAATTCAAGTTGGGTCTCACATTTGATTTTTTTTCTCACTCCACTATTTAATGGACCCCACATATATAATAAGTGTGTAAGAAAATGGTTTGTTGTCACGTAACATGATAAAAACAAAACCCATTAATATAGGAGAAACCAAAAACCAACAAATCAAAATATAAAAATGAATATAAAAAACAAAAGAACAAAAATAAATAAATAAGGACCAAATTCATGTTTAAAACTCGAACACTAAATTTTTTTATTTTTATTTTTCAGACCTCCCGCATCAGAAGCCCAAGCAATTAGAAGCCCCGTAACCCAGCTTTAAGCTCTCCCTTGTCCCTTCTTCCCTCGGGGAGGACCGAATCTTCGGGTAAAGAGAATTGATGCGTTGGATCAATGATCAATTACCTAGTGTTCATAATTGAATGTTGAACACTAAATGACAGCAAATTCATAATGCATCATAATAGATAGTTGGAAGTACCTCCACCAAAGCGTTTATATCCAAAATACAAAAAGTTACACCACTAAACGCGATGCTAAAGTATAATCAGTCATAAGAATTACGACAAGCAATATAACTTATGCATATACTTATACTTCACGAAGAGAGTAGCAGTTTGGCAAGAAGAGAACACATCACATAGTATGTTCAAAAGTTGAAGCTTCAAATCTGCAAGCAGTGTTCTGCCATTTTAAGACGCAAGACTTACGCATAGTTCTGTGAATTAAATTAAACAAGAACTTAGGTTGCTTAATTGTCTTCCTTAGGCCTGACTTCTATTCCTTCAAGAACGAGACCACTCTTCCAATTACCACATTTTATCTCCACAACACTCATCTGCACTTCATCTTCTAGGCCAGAATTGAAGAACTCCCCCATCTCAATCTCCAACCACCCATCACTTCTCTCATTTGGAAGTGGCAATCCCACAACTCTGCGGTGCGGCCTGCTTCCTAAGTTTGGATCCAAACAGACGGTGTGGGTAGTAGTTTGGCCATGTAAGGAACCAACTGATAACTCCACAGGACTGTGACGAAAACCTATGCCATCGATCATCTTGAACACAAGATAAGCTGCATACTGAGTATTTGGGGACAATGCAAGGGTGTTTATCATCCCACGAATTTCAAGCCAACACACATCGAGAAGCTGAGCAACTTCAGGGAACCTGTTCATAAGTTGTACACAAAAGTTGCAAAGACAGGAATACATGCATAACATTGATATGTGTCACAAAAAGGCAAAACATCCAAAATCAGTACTACAGTAGTTATTGAAACAGAAATTGAGAAATACGCTGAGTGATTCATCGATTCATAGATGGAGTATTATACAGGTGTAGACTAACTGTGATCTAACATAAGGTTAACTAAGAGTGGAAATGAACCATGATTCCCTCAAGGAGTTAGATTAGGTCCAGCTATGATGATGTCATCGATAAACACTAAGAGCAACAAAGGTGAAGGAAAGACTAAGATTGGTTATGGATAAACAAGTGGCTGAGAAAATGAGAGAAGCTGGAAAGGGAAAATAGTTTCATTAGACTTTACATTCCTAGAAGTGAAAAATAATCTTTTAGTAAAATCATACAATATGTAGACTTTTTACCCTTGTTGATAGCCAAGAAATAATTTTATTTCTAAATAATGGAAGTGTAGAGGCATAATATAAGCAGCTTACAGTTGGGAGCCTTATGATACAGAAGCTCATATGGTGACTTCTTCAAAATGGGAGAAGGAAGAACTCTGTTGATGAGGAAAGTTGCAATGGATAGGCAAAGGCAAACTCCAAAGTACAAAGTTTCCCTAACTGTGCAAGGGTAGGGGGTGAGGGTGTGTATGTAGTCTTACACTTGCATTTTTGCAAGGAAACTGTTTCCTAGACTTAGAACAAGTGATCTGATCACGAGTAACTTTACCATTGCTCGAAGGCTCACTCTCTAACAGTGGATATGCAATCAGCCGAAAAAGAAATGGCTACTCGAGACTGAAACAGTGAAGATCTGGCCACATTGAGGAGACTTTGGTGTTTTCTTTCAATAACAAAGTTCTGTTCTGGGCTCTCAACGCATGAAATTTGAAGTGGGAAATGGAGGAAAATGAAGGAAAGTGGGAAAGAAAATCACAGCAACGACAAAATGAGCATAAGCATGAGAGAGATCACCGATATCATATCCAAAAAAAAAAAAAAAAAAAATGAAAATGATTCACTGATTCATAGATGAAGTATTTATACAGGTCTAGAGACACTAATTGTGATCAAACAAAAATGATAACTACCAGTGATGACTCAAACCAAAAATTGGAAGCTGTAACTAACATATGAAGCTGACCTGGAATCTTGGAGGGTGGTCCACTTCCAATACCTAGGAGTATCACCCCAAATGATACTGAGAGCTCTAGCAGCGAGCATGTAACACTTCTTCCCACTCTTTCTGCCCAATTGAAAGCTCTGCATTTCAGATATTGGACAACAAAACATTAAACCAACAACAACAACAACCAATTCAGGTTTTGTTTGTTTTCCCTTTTCTTTTAAAGAATTGTTGTCTCTATCTCTCAAGTTTCAAGGCTCGATCAGTGTAAAATGATTAAAAGTCCTAAGTAATAATAGTAGAAGGAGAAATGAAGATTGAAGAATGTTCACCTTAGTACCCTGGGCGATGATCATAGGGTACAGAGCGAAATAGACGGTTTTCATCGAATGAGAGTTGGCAAGCGAAGTAGATTCGGAATCGGCGCGGGAAGTGATGATATCGGCATCGGAAGGGAGAAAATGATTCCACACATCGTCGGATTCAGCAGCAGAACGGAAAATCTTTGAAACGACAGAGAGCCTGCACACGTCAGCAGGAGTCGTAAAAGATAGTATGGTAGCGATGCATCCTTCTGGTAAAGCCTGAAAATCCATCCTTTTTTTCTCAGACACAGAGACAGACCGACACACCACACCGATTGTTGACTTATAAAACCCACCGTGCTAAGAAAAAAAACGATAGTTATGAGTTCTATTGCATACTATTTTTTATATTTTTTCTCCTTTTTAATTGTCCAACACGTGTAAGGAAGATCTAACTTAATCAGAAGTCAAAACAAAGGTTGGTTTAAAGTGGCAAGACGCGTAGGTAATTTATATTATATTATGCGTTGAATTCTCGTTAATATATTAAAAAAAAGAGTAAGTTTTGGATTAATATATTTATTTATAGGGTAATTGATAGCTTTTTTTTATCCTTTTGTCCATTATCAATTAAAAAATAATTATTTTATCCTTCACCCAAAATATTTCATCTATTTGTCCATGTTTAATCGATTACAACATGAAGCATAATCAATTAAAGAGTCAAAAAATGTTTTAACCGTTGACTCCATTATTTACTCTATTAAACCAGAATTGTTTAGTCAATTAAATAATCCCATATGCATTTTTTAAAAAGCCCCATTTGGTAGAGGGGATAAATGTGATAACCTAATCGATTAAACCAAAAACCTCAAGCTCCTAATTTGTGATTTTGTCCAAAATCTTCGTCCAATCGTGTGGTGGGTTCACAAGACAACATCACGTACTCGTTTCTTCATCTTACACGATATGTTTTTTTCGGTTTGCATGATTTTTTTTCTTTTTCTTTTTCGATTGATGAACCCTAGACTGAATGGGTAGTGCTTTGGTTCGATTGGCATGAAGTTTTACTTTTATTCTTCGCTTTAATGGTTGCTTAGTTTAGGTTTTGATGAATGTATATTGTTTAGGGTTTAGGTTTCTTAGGATTTTTTTTTTGTTCGAATTTTTCGGTTCTGATTTATTTTTTCTATGTTTGTTTTTTGTGATATTGATAAATTATCATGTGTTATTGTAGGTTTCCTTTGTCATCATAGCTATCCACGGACAAAATTCAAGGAACACCAATGGCGAAAGACGGACCACTAAAAGCCAGGATCGTCCTTCTTCTTCAGAGCCACAGGAGCCTAAAATTGAGGTTGTGGATCTCCTATTTGGGTATATTCTTGATAATGATCCCTCAGAGCATCCAAGATTTATGGCTGATTTTGATAGCAGATCCATTTGTCATCCGAAGTCATTGGATACGGCATTCTTTGTGAGGGAGGGATTTGACATAGTGGCATTGTTGGATGTGTCACATCTAAGAGTGTTGGCTGAGATGTTGTGTCCTTATTCAGAGGTTATGGTGAGGGTCTTTTACCATAATCTCAGTTATATACAGGGTGAGTTGAGGTCCCGCGTTTGTGGAATGGATATACTGATGATTGCTCCTATATGTATGGAGTTATTAGGGTACGAATTTGATGCCCAGCCTACAGTGGAGTATGATGCGGATAACAACGTGCCCATTCCTGGATTTGTGTGGGGTGATGATGTGGAGGAGGCCAAGAGGCGTGACATCAGGCGTGGGCAGGATGTTCATTATACTGTGGGATTTCTTAGTGTTGATGCTCGTATCTTGCACTACGTCATCGCCCACATATTGTTCCCTCGAGCTTTCAATCATTCGAGGGTGCTGGAGGGTGACATTTCTATCACGTGGGCTATTCGTCAAGGCATACAAGTGAATTGGAGGCATTATATTTGTTGGATAATGTTTAAGGCCAAGCATAAAGGTGCACTTCCATTTTCTTTTCTGGTTCAAAGGATATTGGAGCATTTTGGTGTTCTCATGGAGACTAAGCGGTTGAAGAGGCTCACAGGCTATAATGCCACGTTTGGACAACATCTATTGGAGCAGTGCAAGATCTCTAAGACTAGGGCAGGTGTATGGAAATTCTCAAGACAGGTTGAGCTTGAGGCCTATGAGGTTACCCCAGATGCACACATGGTTGAGGCTGAGGTGGATGATAATGATGAGGATGATCATGCTAACCTAGAGGATATAGTTAAGCCTGAGGGTGGATTCACCTTTCGTGTTGTCATGAAAGGCATTGATGCCACACCTGTGAGAATAGCAAAGATGGAGCTTAAACAGAAAAAGAGGTGGAAGAGCCACATAGAAAAGGGGAATGATAGTTTTAAGCACATTCAGGGTCGATTCAAGGGCTTAGAGGATAACTTGGTTGTTTGGAGCTTGCACGAGGACGCGAGACCGAAGAGGCAACAGGTTATCATGAGGAGGGGGTTGATGTGTAAAATTGAGTACACTGTCTAAGGGAGTACACCAGTATGGGTTAATCGATTAAACTAATGTTGTTAACCATATGGTTCTGTTTTCATGAGTTTTTTTTTCCAATGAGTTTCTACACTCATTATCTAAAGGATTGTGGTCTCATACGACCAATGTGCATTTTCGATTTCTTAGATGTAACAAAAATGAGTTTGAAGGTGGTTTTGAATATCTAAAATGTTATTTAGCTTCTTTTAATACCTACACTTCTTTAAATACCTACACTTTATAGTCTCTTGTCGCCAGCTATGTCCACTTGGGCACCGATTCTTTTCCAAGTTAGAAACGGAAAAATTAAAAGGCCATTGTTGCTTAAGGCACCTTGAGCCTTTGTCCTTTTCCAAGTCGGAAGAGAAAAAATTAAAGTCCCTTGTTGTCTAAGTTAAAGGACCATATGCACTCGTCTTTTTCCAAGTCGAATGCGAGAAAATTAGAGAACCTTGTTACCCAAAAATGGCACCAAGCTGATCCAAAATATCAAGTCCAAACATGATGAAAAATTGAAGAAGAGAAAGTTGAAACCATTTTAGATCATTCAATTTGATATCTTCGACCAACAAACAAACAAAAATAAGCAAAGAAAAAAATATTGTTTGATATATAACTCGACTTCAAATTCAGAAGCAATTACAAACCCGGAGATGGCTATGAGCAACGAGTAACCCAACATAGACCTGAATCCCGAAAGCAGTCACAACCTGGATTTTCCCAGCACTCATATCCTTTTGCACGACATTAAACACTATTTGATTGGCACGTTACTTTCACCCCGGCATTCCGACTTCGCGCAATGTAAGGTTAGGGGGCTTATGTTATGAACCATTTAAAAGGTCCCCACTTCCTATCACCATTACATGAAGCACCTCACTCCCCCACTCTCTCTCAACTTCCCCCCACTACATATAACCAAGGAAGCATGGACACATTTCTTTTAGAAAAATATGTGTCAGACACCGACACAATCCAACACGCGGTCAACATTTTTTCGACATATTTTTTTTGGATCCAAATTTTATTTTATTTTATCTTTAACTAAACATGAAAAATTATTTTAAATATCAAATATTTTATATTATGGAATTTGACATGAAAAGATAACAAGGCATGAAAAATTATTTTTTCTTTATATTTATGTTATGAAATTTGAATATTTGATTGATTATATGACTTATTATTGGCTGCTATATGTATTGAATGTAAAATATATTATATATTTTAAAAATATTATTTAATATCAAATGTGTCCTAACGTGTCGAAATCTAATATTTTTTTAGAATTAACGTGTCAGTGTGTCGTGTCCCGTGTTTATGTTGGTGCAACATAGCATAAAACCACCCACTATGCATTGCATGACACCACTAAGTCACTTGCATAACCACCTATTATGTGCATAACCTCCCCAACTGTTAATGCACTTCATCGATATTTGGTCCCTTATAGCAAAGGAGGCCACAAGTTCTTCAGTTATTTAAGATACATTACTTCAACCATTCATACACAACATATTGCACTCATTCCCATATTGCACTCATTCCCTACGCTACTAAGACCAAATCATATTCACCTTTAGCATATCCCAAACACTTACCCTATATCGTGGTTGGTATTCACTTAGAACAATCCTTAAAAAGCATTTTTAAGGAGATCTTTAACCTTCACTAGGTCAAAATTATGAATATGTATATATATAGGGTAGGAAACCCTTACACCGGTGTAAGAGTTAGAAGTCCTACACTTAATCTTGATCATTGATCTACTTTTATCCAATGGCTCACATTACTAAAAAATTTAAGCTCTTAGATATAAGTGGGATCAACGAACAATATTGAGATGTAACTTACACTGGTGTAAAATGATAATGACCCTATATATATATATATATATATATATATATATATATATATATAGGGTTAGAATTATTTTGCATTAGTATAAGTTACACTCTTAATCTTATTCATTGATTCTATTTATATATAACGACTCTTATTTATTAGATATGCAAGCTGTTAGATAAGTAAAACAATGACAAAAAATTATAAAACTTCTTATTCATATATCGGTATACTAATAATTAGCTTTATATATATATATATATATATATATATATATATATATATATATATATATTCCTCACAGATAGTCATAAAACCCATGTTGTAATATCTGGATCGGTCATTGACCTGCTTGAGATACTATGTCACTGGTTCAACCAGTGGGTCATTGGTTGACCCGGTAAGTATATGCAAATTTATAATTTATATTAAAAAAATTATAAACATACTCAAATATTAATAAAAAATAATATTAATTTCAAATATTATAATAAAAAAATAATAAATCACAAGTCTTAAACTCACTTTACTTAAAAGGTGCCCAAAAATAATAAATCACATTGTCTGGAATGTCTGAATGATATAGCTGAAGAATATTTTTATTTAGACAATGAAACTAGGTAGATGTCTGGAAAGTGTTAAGGGCGTCATAGTGTTGATATATATATATATATATATATATATATATATATATATATATGTGGAGAAATATTTATCCTTTTAAAGGATATAAACTTATATCATTTTAGATCCTAACCGTTGATTTCCATCCATCAACGGTTATAATTTATTAGGTCAAACTTAATGGGCCAAATTTATTATTAATTAATTAATAATTTTGATCTAATAAATTATAACCATTGATGGACGAAAATCAACGGTTAGGATCTAAAATGATATAAACTTATATCCTTTAAAAGGATAGATGTTATTCCCATATATATATATAGAGAGAGAGAATCATTTGACACCAGTGTCAAATTTTAAAATTTGACACCTCATCTGAGATCCGTTAGATCAAAAAAGATCAACGACTCTGATTTGCAAGCATGTGAAACCATTGATCTTTTTTGATCTAACGGATCTCAGATGAGGTGTTAAATTTGAAATTTGACACTGGTGTCAAAGGATCCTACCTCATATATGTATATATATATGTGTATATATATATATATATATATATATATATATATATATATATATATACATATATATATATATATAGGGTCAGGATCATTTTACACCAGTGTAAGTTGTTATCCGTTGATTCCACTTATATCTAAGGGCTCAAATTTTTTAATAACTTGAACCATTGGATACAAGTGGATCAATGGTCAAGATTGAGTGTAAGACTTCTAACTCTTACACCGGTGTAAGAATATCCTGCCCTATATATATATATATATATATATATATATATATATATATATATGGGTGTTAACGGGCCGAGCCGAGCCGAACTTTGATCTTAACGGGCCAAGCCTGTATTTAAACGTGTTCGACTGGCCTTAGCCTGTTACCTGTTACGAATATAATATTGGCATGTGGCCTGGTTTATTTACAAAAAATAAAAGCCTGTGTGAAGCCTGTCTTAGCCTGTTAGCATGTTAAAGAATAAAAATAAGAGAACAGAATTTCACAAAAAATCAAGTTCCAGATAGAAACCTTAGCTTCCAATTTGCAGCAATAATTTACAAAGTCTACAATAAATAAATAAAATTAAAGTGAAAGAAGGTAGATAACAGGTTATATTATCTTAGCCCATTATAAAAAAAGTGCCAACAAAAATAAAAATAAAATAAATAAATAAATAAAAAATTGACACAAACGAGCAGTGCACAGTGGAACGAATGAGTTTTTGTGGGTTTGTTTGTGTGAAGGAGGATGAAGGATAATATAGAACAACACTAGTAATTCCATAAATATACATAAATTCAATATATATCCAAATAGCATAATATAGAACAAAATCATTCAAAAAGTCTGTTAAACCAATAAAATGGGGTGAAATAAATTGATGAGAGAGAGTTATTACAAGTAATATAAAAAGTATAAATAAATATTTATATACTAGGCTAGCCTGGGAGGCTCTAAGGCCGAGCTTCTGAATTAGAGTCTGAGGCCTTTTTATTAAACGAGCTTTTATACAAGTCCAAGCTTGGTTCCAACACGAGCTTTTATTAAACGAGCTCAGACCTTTACGAGCCGAGCCAAAGGCCCCTGAAAGGCCCTGTATATATGTATGGTTTTCAGACTTACTATGAAAATAAGCCTTTTTAGGTTTCGGAGAAAATTTTGCAAAGAAATTATGGATCGGTTATGTTGTTAATAGTTTAGCAGTGGTTCCAGAGATTCTTGCCAAATAAACTAAGAAAATTATAGGATCAACCAGGAGATGAAAGATCATCTTCAAGGTTTGGACAAAAAGGAATACAATACGGTAAGCTCCTTCTAAATATACTAATTCCATGAGATATATGATTCATGTGAGTAAGGGAGCAACAAGAAGTATGGTAAATTGCATGCTGAGTTGCTCTATTTTGTTTCGGTTGATTCTGGTATCTAACAATGTTAAAGAAGAATCATTGCAAGAGAAGAAGAATCGTCCTGCGCAGAAGCATTTCTTCTCGCAAAGGTCGCTCATTCCAATCCTGCTTTAGCTTCTAATCGTGCTTCAGGTACTTGTATTTGAGATTCCAAACTTAAGAAGTCTCACATGGGCCTTAATATGAAGTGAACAAAGCTTTATAAACCATACAAAAGCAACATTTAGCGTTAAAAGTTATCACGTGTAATTTATTTGTTGTTGATTGATCGGGTTGATTTTGACTCGTTAGTTCATGAGTTTTTACATACTCCGGTCGAACTCTAGTGGCACATGGAGACCGGTTCACCGGTCTAATGCTTCCACAGATATGATCTTTTGATTCTTTTCACTTCCCTATATGTGAATATATAAATTTTAAAATGTGCATATAACATTTTCTTGTGAAAAAATATATGAAAGTTTACTGACACATACAATATCAAAGGTGTAACTTTTTCTGGTACAATTTTTTTAAAGAAAACAAAATTATTTTATTTCAAAATCAAAACATATTATAAGATTAAGCGATGATTATTAATAACACTTACATAATGTCAAAAGCAATCATACAAAAATAAAAAATTTAGCTAAAAGTCAAAGTAACTGACCATTTTATTTGCGGTGTATATATAACTTAAGCCCCTATCAATTTGTAAAAATTAACGACAATTCCATATTATTTTTAGTTTGTCCCCGCATTTTTAGAGGACCCTTGGTAGTGCCTGGTAGTGAGAAAAAGCAGAGATAGAAAGAAGAAGTTACAGAAGATAAGAGAAGAAAGAGAGACAGGTTAGAATGTCTTATTGAACTGTTCATATCTTATTTCATTAACTGATGGCAATATATAAGTCTGCCACAGTGGTTACAAACTATAAATTACAAACACAAGGATAGTTTTACTAGTGATGGACTAGAATTACAAACACAAGGAATATTCTAAATTATTAGTATTAGAGAGAGACATAATCCAATAGATGCTTGGGTTTCATTGATTGCCTCTAGGGTCTGGTCCTAAAGCCCAATAGATGGCCCAACTCCTATTATTGGGTCATTGAGTTAATGTTTAGGCCTAATTTCTATTCCTTGGAGATAGAAACCATGCTTCCACCACTGACTCTTTTTTTCCCAAGCACTTATCTGAATCTCCACTTCTTCATCTTCTACACCTGAAATCAAGAACTCCCCCATCTCTATTTCCAACCAACCGTCGCTTCTCACACTTGGACGTTGCAATCCCTGGAAACTAGCATCAAGTTGCGTCTCTTCCAAGTTTGGGTCCAAACAGACTTTTTTGGTACAACCACGGAATCCAAATGTACCTACCGAACACACCACAGGCTTATGCTGAAACCCAAATGCATCAATCATCTTGAATACAAGAAAAGCTGCATAATGAGTATCAGACGACAAAGCAAGGGTATTTATCCTCCCATGAATTTCTAACCAGGATACCTTAACAAGTTTAGCAACTTCTTCGAACCTGTTCAACAGTTGTGTGCATAAGGAACACAAGAATGATATGTGGCACAGAAACAGAAAACATCCACAATAAGTAGTAAAAAAAAAAAAAAAACTCAAATAAGTGCTGACCTGGACCCCGGCAAGGTTATCCAGTTCCAATACTCAGGAGTATCACCCCAGGTAATGGAGAGGTCTCTTGCGGAAAGCATGTAACACTTTTTCCCACTTTTTCTCTCCAATTGGAAGCTCTGCATTGAGATTTCACAAACCAAAACAAAAGCTTAACATTCTGAACCACACTTAAATTCAGGATAAATAAACTACAAAACAATTTATCAATTAGCACACATCCAAAACCAATAAGAGCTTTGGCAATTCCTTCCTACCTCAGAAAAGAATAAAGAGGCATTGGTTGGGACTAATGAATCAGTTTTCTTTTTCAAGATCTTACTGAGGTAAATAAGAAAAGAATTTTTCACAAGGGATACTGAATTCTTTGTTAATTTGAAAGTAAATGTACTGAATAAATGATATTAGGTCCCTGGAAATGAACCAGATCTAACATAAATAGACACAGAGTTATGAGATGCAACCTAATTACTATTCATGTATCATAAGATTATTTGGTGTGGTTCAAGTAAAGGTTTGAGTCCATAATGATAAGTGAGGGTAAATTAATTTTAATTAGGAAAGAAGATAGCATACCTTTGTACCATGGTCGATGATGATGGGATGATCGGAGAGAGCAAGATAGAGAGCCTTCTTAGAGGAAGAGGAAGAGCTAGCGAGCAAAGAGGATGAAGATTCGGAAATGATAGAGACCAAATCGGAGGGAAGAAAACGATCCCAAAGAGCATCGGATTCAGCTGCGGAACAAAAGGCCTTGGAAATGAGGGAGAGACTGCATACATCCACAGGAGTGGTGTATGACAGTATGTGAGCGATGCATCCTTCCGGCAAGGCTTGTAACTCCATCGTGCTTCTGCTTCTCTTGCCACACAAATTCAGAATGAAAAACTGAGAAAGACAGAAAAGCAAAGTTACAAATTACAAGTGAAGTCACCTCCTCTAGTATAGAAATTTAACTATAGTTGTAATAACTGTGGTTACAATAAACCTAATTACAGTTAACAGTAAATAAAAAATGATTTTATACTTATTTTTTTTATACAAAAAAATTGTTTTTATCCTTATTATCTTCATTCCATGTCCATTCATTCTAACGCTTCTACCAAAATCACCGTAGGTTGATTTTGTCATTTATCTTATCACATGTCATATTGGCCGACACAATAAATTTCTACGAAGCATGGACCAAGTCAGCGAGGGGACTGGGCGAACGGATGTAACACTTTCTTAGTGACTGAGGAATGTCAAATGTGTTATGTATAAGACATGGGTTACGAATAATGTATTTAAATGCATATTTATTAACTTTAAATGCTTTTTTTTTCAAAAAAAAAAATGCATTTTTTTTAATACAAGTACATGCATATTTACTTATTATGAATATTTATTCATTTCTCTCCGCGTTCGATCGTTTTCTCATTTAAGCATAGTTAGACTTTTAAGCATTGTCTTGCGCGCAGGATAATTTGAATAAAAATTTAGTTCAATCATTCTTCGCGTGCTCGAGTCTAAGTTGTTACATATTTAACTCTTAACTTTTTTTAAAAAAAAAAAATAGTTTAAATTATGTACTAACTCAATAAGAATGATTTTCATTTTGTCAATATCATTACATTAGTAATAATAATAATAATAATAATAATGAATAGCTTTTATGTACAATAATTCATTTCATAAAAATAAATGTGTTGACCAAGGCCAATAAAAAAACATGTGTTAACAAAGTATTAATATTGTGATTTTTTTCTTAACTACTAATAGTTCTTCTTTTGTCTGTATAACTTGTTTTTCATCAAGGAGCTTTTAATTGTTTCGTTTGAGATTCTAGTTAACATCGCCTATGAAATGTATTAAGAAAAAAATCACCAATAAACTTTAATTATGTTGTATCTATTTAGATGAAAATCGAAGCCAGTTTTTGAAAAATGATAGTTTAATAAATGAGTTTGAGGTTTCTCATATCATAAAAAATAAAAATAAAAATATCTCCAACACACGTATAAAAATATACATGGCCCATGTGAGACTATGTAAAGTGGAGAGAGAAAAGGAAAACAATATTTTGGTAAAATCTTTATATTTTACATCAATACAGTAAAACTTTTATAAAGTTATATTAATTCAGTCAAAGGTCTTGTTTGATTTAATAAATTTGATATCAATTTATAACCACAATTATTATATATTAATTATGATTTGTAATATTAATTAATATTTATGAAAAAAATAAGAAAACGTATAATAAAATCTAGGTGGGACGGTTAGGTGCATCAACATGTAACTGGATTTTACAAATAAATTTCATCAACCTTGACTGTTGTTGTTAAAAATTAAAAATCTTAGAAATAATGCATAGTTATGAATATATTCGGTCTTTCTTCCCAAAATGCTCTACTGTTTGCTCAATAACTAAAAAATTTCCATTTACCTTGGTTGGAAAAATCTCAGTCATTATTGTGACACTGATACTTAATTGTTAGAGAATAATATAAATAATTAAAAATGTTTTTACCTAATATTTGACGGGGCATTTGGTACAAGAGAAATATTTTTTAATCAGGTAAATACAATTAGTGGAAAAATGGTTGTAAACTAAAATAAGTGAGGAAATTTTAAAAATGTTGTTTGGTAGACTAAAATATTACCAGAGAAATTGTGTTAAGTTTATTGAGACTGTGTTTAGTTGAAAGTAAAATATTGATACACAAATATGATAAAATTTTGAAAATACCCCTAAATATTGAAATAGACAATGAGCAAAGAGACGTTGGACACACGTGCTCAAGGAATCAAACGTTCGTCTTTGGTTCTTCATTTCTCAGTTTCTGTGTGTTTCGGAGTGAGGTTTTGTTTCGTCAGTTGCTTTTTGTGTTTGTTATGTTTTTCATGGTGGGGGTTGAGTATAATTCTTCCCTTTTGTTTTTTTTTTCTTATGCTTTCTTTTAACACTGACTATGGTGATATTAGGATAATTCTTTTTTACCCTTTTCTTTACCTTCTGTCATGTAGGGTCATAAGCAATGGTTGACTGAAGTTCAGTTTGTTGGTGTTGTGGAGCATCCAAATCTTGTGGAGCTTATTGGATACTGTGATTTGCATGGTGAAAGAGGGATCCAGAGACTACTTCTGTATGAATACATGCCAAATCAAAGCTTAGAATTTCATCTTTTCAATAAAGCATACGATCCTCTGCCTTGGAAAACAAGACTTGAAAATTGAAATAGCACTTGGGGAGTGGTGGTTAGATGTTTTGAGATGTGGATATTAAACTGATGCAACTTAGCATGTTAGTTGCAAGTGAATTTTGGGTTGTCAGGTCAAACTGAAAATGACTCATCTAATTTAATTAGTGGAAGCCCACCATTTTTGTCAGGCTTCTGTTGTATGCTTTTCCTGTTCTTCTTAAGACTTAAGACAACCAGCATTGCTGTTGAATTTAATTGCTGGTATTGGGATATGAAATATTCTGTTGAAGAGCTTTCGAGGAAGATGAAATTGCTGATAAAGATTTAAGAAGCAAGCTTGCTGAAGAGGGGCGCTGAAGAGGGGCATTTGCGTAGTTGGTGCCAAAAATATCACTTTCCTAGTTTTTTCAAGATACCACCTCCAAGGTGGTCTTCCATGTAGAGTGATTTGGAGACCAATTAACACAAATCTCAGTTTTTGATGGGGAAAGACAATGCCTTGGTTTATTTTTGACACCCCTCTACCAAACATGTCATTCTTCATTTCCCACCTTCACTTATCCATCTATCCCTTTAAAAACCATCTACCAAACACCCGCTTAAGATTTTGGGTTGTAGTGGTTGTATCAGAGGAGTAACTACAAGGTCAAAAGTTCGATCCCGCCATTCACTTTAAAGTAAAATTAAAATAAAATAGGTAAACAAAAATTGGACATGTGCAATATACACACTTCAAGCCCAAAGGACCCTTGTGTGAAGGAGTGTGTTAAAGAATAAACTGAAATCTTTTCACAATCTTATTGTTCTATAAACTGAATTTTTTTCACAATCATGATTAGAGAGAGGGAGGATCGTTCCTTTCCTCTTCCTTTGCACTCTCATTCTCAATTAAATGCACTCAGAAAGCTTCTTCCCGCTCAACTCCTTCTTTCTCCCGTTCCTATTTCAGGTTCTCCGTTCTCATCGTTAATCCGCACGATTCACTGCTGCCACCGCGTGTGTGCTTATGGATGTAAGTTAATTAATTCTCCTTTGCCGATGTCTCTTAATTTTTTGCTTGTGTTTGCGATGCGATCAATGAATATTAATTAATTAAAATTTTGACTCTTTTTCTTCAATGAATATATTTAGTGTTTTGCCTTGATATAAAATTTCGAGGTTGTATGGTGAGAAACAAGATACTCATTAATTTAATACTGCAAACTTATATTTACAATTTTTTGACAGAAATTAGTATGATTGGAAGTTTTCATAATTCTAATGATATATTTAAGCTTCGATATCAAGGCACTCATCTAAGCCTTAAGGATAAACGGTGTTTGCGTTATTTAAACTTGTATAAAAATACAATTCATATGCTTATCAAGGACAGTTTTTTGTAATTCTTTGAATATGTGAACGTTGAAATAGTGGATACTCATACTCCTACTAAGCACATCCTTAGTGTTGAAAGCATAGTAGTTAAAAGCGCCGCTAAAGCGGCGCTACCCGCAACGTTTGCGGGTTGCGGTGGTCGACCGCGAGGAATAGCTCTGCACCGCGCCGGAAAGAGATTGCGTCCTTAGCGTCCGTAATAGCGAACGAAATCGCGTCAGTTTTGGTACAAATCGCGGCTGCAATGGAGTTTTCTCTCTCTTCTGCGTTTTTTAATGGAGCGCTCTCTCTCTCTTCTGCGTATAAACTATTAAGATGGAGATGAGGAAGAAAATCAATCACGTGACTTACAATTCATTTTAAATCTTATTTTTATTATAATATTATTTTATTTTGATTGTATGTTCCCAAGACTTTTATTTTATAAAATGGAGAGTTGTCTCTCTCTTATGCGTAATCTGAAAAGTAATCTGATTCAAAAACTTGAAAAGTAATATTTTTTATGTAAATCACGTAACCTCTTCTGAGTCTCTCTTTTCTTTTATTTTATTATAATATTATTTTATTTTGATTGTATGTAAATCAAGTAACCTGTTCACTGGACTTTTATTTTATTACATAACCAACATATTTTTTTATGCTATCATATATATATATATATATATATATATATATATATATATATATACATAGTAGTTAAAAGCGCCGCTAAAGCGGCGCTACCCGCAACGTTTGCGGGTTGCGGTGGTCGACCGCGAGGAATAGCTCTGCACCGCGCCGGAAAGAGATTGCGTCCTTAGCGTCCGTAATAGCGGACGAAATCGCGTCAGTTTTGGCACAAATCACGGCTGCAATGGAGTTTTCTCTCTCTTCTCCGTTTTTTAATGGAGCGCTCTCTCTCTCTCTTCTGCGTATAAACTATTAAGATGGAGATGAGGAAGAAAATCAATCACGTGACTTACAATTCATTTTGAATCTTATTTTTATTATAATATTATTTTATTTTGATTGTATGTTTCCAAGACTTTTATTTTATAAAATGGAGAGTTGTCTCTCTCTTCTGCGTAATCTGAAAAGTAATCTGATTCAAAAACTTGAAAAGTAATATTTTTTATTTAAATCACGTAACCTCTTCTGAGTGTCTCTCTCTTCTTTTATTTTATTATAATATTATTTTATTTTGATTGTATGTAAATCAAGTAACTTGTTCACTGGAGTTTTATTTTATTACATAACCGACATATTTTTTTATGCTATCAGATATATATATATATATATATATATATATATATATATATATATATATATATATTGTATCCTATCAGAGAGAGATATATTGATTAGTTTTTGT